ACGTGGCCGTGCTCCCAGGAGAGCTGGCGCACCACGTAGTAGTCCATCTCAAAGGGGCAGCAGACAATGGCCACCAGGAAATCGGAGATGGCCAAGTTGGCGATGAGCAGATTGGTGAGGTTTCGCAGCTTCTTGTAGCGGGCCAGGGCAGTGATGAAGATGAAGTTGCCAATACCACAGACCAGCATGATGCCCACCAGGGCCATGCCGATGACGATCTTAGCAGCAAAGAAGGTCCGGGAATTGGTCACGTCCTCATCTTCATCCAAGGGCATATCGTAGTCGCCATAGCTGAAGTTGAATGGGAAGGAAGCAGTGTGGGCTCCATGGGGGTCGAGCATAGAAAAATAATTGGCTGAAGTATTGGTGACATTCTCATCCATGACCCCCATGGTGACCTCCATCTGGCCAGGTGAAGCCTTGAGTAACACTCCTGGGAATTCCTCTGGGGTGATGTCAAGCGGCTGAGGTCCCTCCTTTCTGCTGACACTCAGGTCTCCCTTAATGAGTCAGCATGTCATCCTTGGGGTCCAGTAACCAAGCTCCATTCTAAGCCTTTGAAAGACAAACAATTAGCTACATACGTAAGTGAACCTGGCCAAATTTTAAACCATCCTATAACCTAAGCTGATCCATTAGCCACCTGCTCAGAGTGAATACTGGGAGATGGAGTGGAAATAAAGGAACCAGTGGAAGGAAGCAAATGAACAAAACCACACACCCCACTCACCCAGGAAAGGTCAGGCTGCTCGAGAGACAAATAGGCACTGACTCCGTTTATTTCTATCCCACCAAAGACTGAAATGTTGCACTTTTTCTAGGGGATCAAAGTTAGGAGTGTGGGGAGGCTGAAGAGAATTAAAGTGACCGACTCCAAATTCCGTTCCTTGTCCCAACAGCCTGAACTTTGTCTTTGTGGAATTGTCCCATTCTGTGGCTTAAAAGAAACTATTCTGAATACCATGGAAGAGGGGAGGATTTGAGACATGAGCTGGCCTCCTTCCTTCTGGGAAAACACTGCTTTAAAAATCACAGAGTCTATCTAGTGGCCGCCTTCCCCTCTCCCTACTGGGCTTCCTGTTCCCACATCCAAGTCTGCTGTGACCCTAGAAGCCAGGCACAGTATTTACCAAGGCCTGTCCCCAGACAGAACTACAGGGGTAAAGTCACAGCTTAATCACCGAGCGGCTTAGAGAGGACTCTGGAGCGAAATCCTCCCCTGGCTAGTTGTATGTTCTGAGACAAATAGCTTAACTGCTCAGAGTTTCAACATCCTCCAGGCAAGAAATCAATGATGTCTGTAAAGCACCGAGGTCCCTGGAGAAGGAGGATGTTACACCCTAGGGCTGCAAGGAGTTACCAGTGAGGACCCACTCAGGCCTCCTCAGTCAGCTACCAGGAAGAGGAGGGTAATCTTGATCCAGATGACTGGACCACAGCACAGGATGGGGCTGGGGTCCTGGGAGAGGGTTGTCAGTTGCACTGCCAGGACGGAGAACCAGGAGGGAGCCAGAGTCCCCCAGACCCTTGCCCTCTCGCTGCAGCCCCCGTCCCTCCCAGAGCCTGCAAACATCAGACTAGGTTGCTGGGATGTAAGGAGACGACTGGGGTCTGGAGAGCTCCACAGAGGTCAGGAAACCCGCAGAGGGAAGGGGAGTGTGGAAATCTGTGGCTCTTGGAAAAGCGAGGCACAAGGAAGACCCCCCCCCCCCAAGCCAGGATCCCCCAGGAAAGCCTGTTGCCTGCATTCCTCAAAGGTGACACATCTGGGGCCTGTCTTTGCGGGGAGGACTCAAGTCCCCTGCACCCTGGGGGAGGCTCAGCCCTAGTCCCATCTCTTTTCCCCAACTCCTCGCCTCCATTTTTCTCAGATTTTCTTCTGCCTCGGAGCCATCAGTTCTGCCCCTCTCAGGCCCTGCCCTTTGCCCCTGTCAGGTGTGAGAAGCAGAACCCAGAGCTGAAAGGTCAGAGGGGGCCAGGCTTCCTGCCCAGGCAGGAAGGATGCAGTCTCCATGGGACAGTCCTGGCCCCTCGCAGACCTTGAGTGTCTCCCAGGAGCGCCACCTCTGAAGGTGCAAGCTCGCTCGCCACGTGGAATTCTCAACGTCATGTTTAAAAACAGAGTCATACAAACTTCTTAGGGAGACGGGGTGTTAGGAAATTTGGCATTTGGGGAGAAATTATCCAGTGGTTCTTTTTTTTTTTTTCCTCCTTTAGTCCCATCTCCCCAACCAGAATTCCACTGCCACCAGGTGTCCTCTGGAGCCCCTGAGTTTAGCGCTTGCCCCCTGGCTGGACCCTTCCGATCTCTAGAAGCCTCTCTTTTCAGCCCTTGCTGATAAGCCCTCTCCTGCTCCCAACTTTGTTCTCAGAGCCTCAGAGGCTACGCCTAAGGGCAGAAGGAGGGAGAAGCCCGGCTCCCCCTGAAGCAATGAACTGAATGCGAGTCTGTTGTAAAGCTCCCTCCCGGTTCCACAGCCCCAGCGCCCCGGCGGCCGGCGCCCCGCGGAATCCTTGGAGCATTGCCCCGGAGGGCGCGCTCGGTACCTGCGGCATCTCGGCGCCGGGCGGACAGGGTCCAGAGCTCTTCATTCCGGGAGCGGGGACACGAGCCGCTTCTTCCAAAGGCCCGCGGGCAGAGCACAGGTTCCCTCTCTCCCTCCTCCGCTCCGGGCTCTTTCCCGACTGGGCTCGGAAGGTAGCTGCGCTCTCGCCGCCGCAGATCCGAGGACGCGGTGAGGCCACCCTCCGCGCCCGCTGTC